GGACATGAAAGCTGGAAAGTTTTTTTTTTTAAAAAAGCGGATAAGGGAAAAGATCAGTTCAGTTGAGATGTGGCATTGGAGAAGAATGCTGAAGATACCAAGGACAGCCAAAAAGATAAACACATGAGTCCTTGAAAAGGTCAAACCAGAACTCTCCCTGGAAGCTAAGATGATGATGCTGAGGCTGTTGTGCTTTGGGCACATCACAAGAAGGCATGGTTCACTCGAAAAGATAATAATGCTGGGCAAGGTGGAGGGCAGTAAAAGAGAGGAAGACCCTACACTGGATGGATAGACTCAGGGAGGTCATGGGCATGAATCTATATCATTTAAGCAGAGCAGTGGAGGATGGGGGGCTTGGAGATGTCTCACTCATAGGGTTACCATGAGACAGGGATGACTTGATGGCAGTTAATAAATGGCACCAAAGGTGACACCACACTTGAACTGCTGCAGCCAACAGATTGCTGTGTAACTGACTTCAAACACTTTGATGGTACTACTGTAGCTTTCCTAGAGGCACTTGTATATTACAAGAAAATTTATTAAACAGAAGGTCAAAATACAGGTAAGGATTATTTGGCATATAGAAGTCTATGGCTATGACATTTCAAGGATTAGTATTCCTTTTACTTGTTTAACTCATCTAAATCCTGACTAACATTAACTCTGTCCCATCTCTTCACAATCCTAACTGAGCTTAACAGTCCTAGCTGACCTTAAACACCAAAAATCCTTCCCTTCACTCTCTCATTTCTCACTTCAGCCTTCACTTTCTCTTTCTCTTCTGTTATTTAATAAAGGCTGCATCTGCACTGTAGAATTTCTGAAAAGTTGTCTGAGTTTAGATGTGACATGTCATCTATGGGAGTGGGAGGAGGAAGAATACAAGGGTGAAGCAAACCTGGGGTATTTCAAGAAAACCATGAATATACAGATAAAATCAAAACAAACAGAACTGAAAAGTCTCACTACATCCAGGGACTTTCTTTTTTCTTTTTTCCTTTCTGAATAACCCCTAAGTAGCTGATGCAGACCGCTGCCCCATATTTTTTTGCACAGGAAAACCACACACATTTTTGCACAGAATATCCCCTGGAAAACATCAGAGCAGAAGAACACCCTGGAGAGTAATGTGCCAAAATAATAGTTTTATCTTGCAGCAGAGATTAATCTCCACAAATTATTTGTGCTTCACATGCAAGGTTGAAGCACTCATCGCTACTGTAAAACAATCTGGCTGCAGCCCTCCTTTTCTTTTAAATGTTATCCATTTCTTTGGATTAATAATAATGCTCTAATTTTGAAATGCTGGCAGTCTCTTCCTAACTTTCTAAGCCAACCTGCAGTCATGCGTTCCATCACTGCGATTCCACCTGCAAAAGGAAAAAAAAAAGTATGCATTATAAGTAGCAGTACATGGAAGTCAATTACTGAAATGAAACCATTGCGGGCTAAAAGGGGACTGGCAAATGACAAAAAGCAGCAATTAACTACATTTCCATAGCACTTCCAGCTTTCTGCTGCTGGGAAGTCTGGAGTGGCATTTGAAGCAGTATGTCTTCTGGCCTGATATTAGTGCAGCGCTTTGTTACTCCTTGTGTCACCGATTGTAAAGTGCCAGGACTCACTTGGGAATGTCTATTCCAGTTCGTTTTAAACTCTGCAATCAAGCTTTAAACTCCGCAATTGGCTTGAAGTGTGATGTACAGTATTAAGAGAGAGAAAGTGAGTAAGAGTAATTCCCTGGGCCTCCAGTATATGCATCTGAAAACTCCAGGGCTCTCTCATTTGAGTTAAAGCTTTAGTTTAGTTGTGAATTTCCATATGTCTGCCAGGAAGTCGGGAGCCCTAAGTGAGATAACCCTGACAGGTTATCCAAGCCTCTTCTTCCAATGGATGGTACTAGCTCAAAAGATTCACCACCACCACCCTCTCTCTGCCTATAGTTTTAGGGGAGCTTCTATGCAATAAGCCCAAGTTTGAAAAATTACTTTGTTGGAATAGAACTCCCAGAATTTCTCAGCCCAGAGAAATTTGGCTAGGGACTCAGATTTGTAGTTCAAAATAACATTTCTGATCTCTCAAATAAGCATAGGTCATAAAGATGCCCTTGAGCAATATTCCAGAAGGGTAGAAGATACTGTTTGTTACTTGCATTTTTATCCTTCAGTGAGCTCAAGGCAGTCCTGTCTGCACTGTCCAGGATACCTTGAGCAAACAGATGTCTGTTTGCACAGTCATCCCACTGTAGCACCTGGTGTGGCCACCACATTGGTGAGTCATTTGCTCTTGGATCAGAAGAAGGCATCCAGCCTCAATCTCATGGCTGGGTGCCTTGTTCTGTCCTCATGCCAGTGGCGGCCATGCCAGGCAGCAAAGTGGGATGCATTTCAGACAGCAACTTGGCATCAGAATGGAGGGCTCTGAATCTTCCTAGAAGATCCAGAGCAAACAAAGGGGTGTTGCAGACTGCCAGAAATAGTGCAAATTGAGTTCACTTTTAGGGTTAGGGTTAGGGAATCATGGGAACTGTATTTTTTTGTGACACCAGAGCTCTCTAACAGAGAAGGCTCAATGTCTCAGAAAAAAAATCAATCCCCATGATTCCCTAGCACTAACCCTAACCCTAACCCTAAAAGTGAACTCAAATTGCACTATTTCTGGCAGTCTGCAACCCCAAGTTACTTAAACCCAACTTAATAGGGGTAAACCCCAGGTTTTGTGCAGAACAGTCTGGTCTTTTAGTGCCATACTCAGGGTTTGGACCACGCATCTCCCCACTGAGATAACAGTTAACATTCAGAATAAGAGCTATGACTAAGAAGATTAGGAACCATAAAAGGAAGATTAACAAGACTGCCAGAAATAGTGCACATTAAATTGAGGCACTGCCCTGGCTCAGTGCTAGGGAGTCATGGGAATTGTATTTTTTTCTGAGACATTGAGCCTTCTCCGTCAGAGAGTTCTGGTGCCACAATAAATTACAGTTCCCATGATTCCCTAGCACTGAGCCAGGGCAGTGCCTCAATTTAATGTGCACTATTTCTGGCAGTCTGCAACCCCCCTAAGTGGGGACAGTTGGATCATATACTACTATAATCTGCATGGCAGGGGGTTGGACTGGATGGCCCTTGTGGTCTCTTCCAACTCTATGATTCTATGATTCTATGATAATCTGTCCTGTGTCCATGCAACTGAGTGGGTAATAATTACACAGGTATCTCCCAACAGGAGTGGCGAATCAATGCCTTTCCAGGGGTTTGCGACACTGCAGAATTATAGCAGTTTGGTAGCACTATAACTGCCATGGCTGCATTGTGTGGAATCCTGGAATTTATAGTCATGTGGAGCACTTAGAATTCTCCAATCTGCTTCCTTGTACTACAGTGTTACTGCTTTCTGGAAGAGAAGTAATTTATGAAACAACAAATCCTGGGATTTCAGCATTTGGAGCAATAGCAGTTAAAGTGGTATCAAACTGCTGTAATTGTGTAGCATGGAAATACTGAAGATGTTCTTGAACTCCACCTCCCAGCAAACCTGGCTGATGTCTGGGGATGATGGAGGTTGTAGTTCAAGTAAACCCCTGCTTTAAATGGAAGCAAACATTCTAATATAGTTATATACTCGGATAGACAAAATGCAGTTGATGTGCTCCTTCAACTGTTTTGGAATACTCTCCAGATATAATTCTATCTGTAAGACATTCATGGGGAAAGTAGAATAAAACAAAATATCAGCAAGCTACTTGATATGTGACAAAAAAAAAGGCATAACCAATAATATTGAGCATAACAGCGTATAAAAGCCTAACGGTTTTCAGCTGTTTATACAAGTTAGGTTTCAAATAGCAGGTGCTTTGTTTGTGATGCTAATAAAATAGCTGTACTCCTTTTTTCCTCTCCTTTCCCTCTTTTCTTTTAGAGAGGAAGCAAAAATAAATATTATGCTACATTTCCTCAAATTGCAGGGAAAAAAAATTAGATTGCTGGCAAATAGGTTCCAATAGATGTAGCGGCATTGTTAGGAAAGGAAACGGCAATATCCAGTGTTTCCAGATCTATCAACATTGAACGTAACCTCTGCAAGTGTACATTCCATGCTGGTGGGCAGGAGGTAATCAAGCCGAATAATTGCTATGCATGGCAAAGTGTTCCATTTTTACCTTTCCATTGCTTTCTGCAGGAGAGGATAATAAAGTCGACCTTGTTGTCATTGGCCTGTGTTTTATTATTGTGATTTTTTTCTTAATCTTAAACATTGTTTTAGACCAAAACATCCTGTCGTTTTGTTGCAGAAGCAAGCATCATTGTGTATTGTTCCAAACTGGCTCCATCTAAACCAGAGGTAGGAATTGTGTGGTGCTCGAGATGTCATTGGAGTGAAGCTCCCAGCAGCCTTTGCAAGCATAGCGAATGGTAAGCATTGCTGGGATTTACAGTCCAAGAACCACTGGAGGACTTTGATCACCCTTTTTTGGTCTGCATAGTTCAAGAGAACCATGGCACAAGGCCTGCACAAACGTGAGAGAACGGTAATGTGCTTGGTTTAAGGCAGGCCTTAAAAAGCATCCAGAAACCTCAGTGAGACCAAAAAGCAGTTGTGAGGTTACTAGCTAGATCAGGGGTAGGCAACCTTTCCCCTTTAAGGGCCGAGAGACTTCAGCTCCCAGAATCCCAGGAGCTATTGGCCAACATGGGACTATTGGCCAACATGGCTGAGGCTTCTGGGAGCTGAAGTCCCTCGGCTCTTAAAGGGGAAAGGTTACCAACCCCTGAGCTAGATGGAATCAGAGCTTAAAAGTATAGATGGGAGTAGATAAATATATGAGCATAACATTTGTTTGTTTGTTGCTGTTGCCTCCAAGTAATTTTTGACTTATGACAACCTTAGGGTAGGCAAACCTATCACAGGGTTTTCTTGGCAAGTTTCTTCAGAAGAGGTTTGTCACTGCCATCCTCTGAAAAACTTGCCCAGGGTCACCCAATGGGTTTTAAAGGCCAAGCAGGGATTCGAACCCTGGACTCCAGAGTCATAGTCCAACACTCAAACCACTATGCCACACTGCATTTCACAGATGAAAACTGGAACAACTGTGGCCAAGCAACACCAGAGTGTATTCAAGATGGCAAGTTATTACTATTATTGTATTGTTTGGTTTTAATTGATTTCTTTTCTGAGCTATGTTGGGTTTCCCTCTGGGAGAAAGGTGGCATACAAAGGAAATGAATGAATGAATGAACTGAGGAAGAACAAACAAGCCAGAAGATGCTGCAGCAGTTTGCTTTTGACTGAATCTAAAAGGAAGGGCAAGATTCTGCCTCCTCCTTTCCTCTCCCTCCTGCTGAAGTACTTGAGTGTAAACTATTTTTATACTTTGAACTCAGCAGCAACTGAAGTAATCCAGGATGAAGGGACAAAGTGGGAAAAGGAAAGAGAAACTGGGACATTTTAAGAGCAGTTGAAAAAGAGGGATGACAGAGGATTAATCAAGACTGTCCCTGCCAAATTGGGAGAAAT